ATAAAAGAACCTTCACGTCGCACAGAAGAGGATTCTCCCTCCTCAATTAACCTCTGTATTCCCTCTTGCGATGATCGATCACGACGTTTCGACTGTCGCAAAATCTCTTTTCAAATCTCCTTCCGGGTAAAATACATTCGAGGCACGCGTATTCATCATGTAAGTACGTACGACATGACCTCTTTGATCGCATCTCTACCGTGAAATGGTACCCACTTTGAGCACGCAATACTATCATTGTTATCAATGCCGTCTTTGAATATTCGTCGCATGCTGCCTCCACAAACACTCGAAAGTTATTAGGGTCGCGAGCGTGGCTTGTTTCAAAATTAAAAATTATAAAGCATTGTCAATTGTTCCCAATTTTTTTTTCTTTTTTTTAACGAACATTTCTCTTATTATATTCGTTAGAAGTGTGAATGAATTGGATGTAATGTTGGTAATATTTATCAAGAAGCTTTAGCTAATGCGTTGGGTATTAATCACAATTGGATCCTAGGCTGGTTTCTCGCGAGATGGAGAAAGGAACACAAGTTTCTAATCTTGGATGCTGAGGTAGTGTGACGTATTTCGAATATATATATATATTCCTGAAAAGCATTAATTCCATCTTTGTGTTGCGTAAATTGCATTACTCGTGAGTAATTGCTTAAATTTTTTTTATTAAATAATATCTTATTTATTTTTCGTTAAATTTATATTATTTTTCATACAAAAATTTTAATTTATATATCTTAATCTTCTATAATGTTATTCGCGTTATTTTATATGTTTTACTAGATTTTAAATTAAGCCAAAAAGGATTACTCTTAAGTTAGATTAAATTAGATTGAATTAAATTGAATTGAATTGAAATTAAACTGATTAAAATTACTGTAAACAAGTAAAGATCTAATATTTGAAAAATGTTAAATAATTAAAAGAAATATCGAATATCATTTATATTATCTTCAAATATTTATCATATAAAAGAAATTATATGAATTGAATTTCACGTTGACAAATTAATTAATAAACGAGATAATAATTTGAAATAGTAAATAATAAAGAACATTCTACAAAGAATATTATAAATATTAAATTAAATCGAAGTAGGATACACAATACTCAATATATTATACTGATACATATGATAAATGGAGGAATAATTTTAATAATAATATTTATAATAATGTTTCTATTTTTTAAAATAATGTTTTTAATATTATAATAACAAGTTATTGTTATTATAACATTATTCGTGAATTTTTTCCTTTTAGTCGCCTCTTACGACAGGCAGGAAATACCGTGGGCCTATTCTACCCCCGAACCCACAGAGGGTTTCTTATTTATTGTTATATTAACTGACAATACTGATTGTTGTACTTCTGATATTACTTCTGGAATCTATACAATTCTATTTGTCAAATACGAAATTCAAGCATACAATTATTCGTTTCTTAACCATTCCTTTAAATTAAATAATATAATTGCAAGGATATTAAAATAAATGGATATTACGTAAAATACGTAATTCAATTATTGAAATATCCTATCCTAAAGGCATCAAAATAAATGAATATTCCACGTTCAATTATTTTCATAATTATCAATCACTCGATTTTTAAATACAAAATTCACGCATATCTTTGAATAAATTCATCCGTTTCCTAATCAGAAAATCATTTATCATTGAATAAATGTTGTTCCATTAAATTATACTGTCAAAATTGAATCAATATAATCCCCCTATAAGATATGAGTTCGATAAATCATACGTCATCCTTGCACAATTGTAAATAGAAAGTGAGTACCGAAACTGAAATCTCTAAGATCCACGAGATCTCGAGATCGTTATAGATGGGTTCCTTTTTGGAAAATCGAGATTACCGCAGGATCAAATAGGGAACTCGATAATTCCTTGTCCCGGCGCGATCAAAGGCTTAAGCTAACAATTGCTTTACAGCAAGACAGTCTCTGGACTCTGATGGCGCACACATCTAAGGGATGTAGGGGATGTTTGCATTATCAGACCTCTATACGTTCGTGTCTCTGTATATAACTAAAATTAATCATTTAGATTTCATTACCAAGGCCTGTCATTCAATCAATTTCTATTTACTTATTAATTTTTTTATAGATATTTACTTTCGAATTTTTTCCATCGAATTTTTTCGAAGGTAAATAAAATAAAATTAAATCATTGTACAAAATTTTAAATATTAATTCTTTTGAAATTTTTCTTTACATTATAAATTATATCTGTAATAAGAAAAGTGACATAAATCAAGTAAAATTTTCATCATATTTATGTAGTATTATTAACTCGAATTTTTTTATAATAAAAAATAACTCTTTCTTATTTTATTTAATTCTATTTAATCGTTGAATGATGATATCTAATCAAATGAAATTTTTAATTATATTTTCATCGATTCCTCGACTCCTTGATTATTATCGACAGCGTAAATTGAAATTTTTAACAGCTGAGTATTCGTGGTACAACGAAAATTTTTCATTATCCGCTTAATGACGTTGAACTTTTTCACTTAACATTATTGTTTTTACTCACGAGAGAGAAATTTTTCATTTTTAATGGTCCGTAAGCGTTGTCAAATTGTTCGAAACATTTTATGCGAAACATTTAGAACGTTAAAAAATAACGACAATATCAATTTCATCAGATTTAAATTCCATTTTCATTGTATATTCTCCTTTAATAAATTTCTATAACTTGTTTCGATTTATTCTTAGAAAATGTAATAATCCTCTGTGCAAATTCCAGAGTTCTGTAACTGAATGTAATATAACTTAAACTGTGAAAGCGATTCATCGTTTTTAATTAGCATCGATGTCTTTTCTGAGAAAATTATTTGATAAAAAGAAGGCATATAACACGACATTTATTTATGGAAAATTCTTGAAACAGGAATTCAAAGTATTAGTATACTTATTCGCGATGAAAAGGAATTGCAATTTATATCCACGTGTGTTCAATATCATCTGTTTATTTCGTTTTTCCAATTGCCGTAGTAATGACAACATATTGAAATGAAAAAAAAAAAATCTGTATTTAATATTTTCTTCATCGTGTTCATCGAACTGCTGTCGATAGTAATTAATTATAGACGGATGTGATATATTTGAAATGACGTTGCGTGAAATATTATTTTAAAAAGTATATTTTATAATTTTTAACCAATATTTTCAACAGAATTTTCAAAAGAATTTTAATAAAAGCTAATTATTTTATATTATATTATTTAAAATAATTATCAGAAAAATAATAATAAATAAATTTAATGGTCTGATTTGTATTTGCATTTTTTTATGTGCAGAATATTACAACTGCTGTTTTTGATTATTACATATTCCCAATTTTGAAAAATAAAATAGCAAATCATTCATTGTTTCAAATAAAGTCATTTCTTATTTCAATTTCAAATAAATTATTTACTTGAATTTGATCATATTCGTAGTTATAATAATCGTATAAATATCGTTAATCGCAATTCTAACTTCTCCAATTTAACTTTCGCGCGATTTTCGAACAGTAATTTATGTCAATTTTCGTTTTCGAATAAATGGAAATAAAGAAGTTTTATTTGAATGGTAAATAACGCGAATTTGATTCAATTTATTTTCTAGGAAATATCATGTTTGAATCTGACGATTGGATCTCGTGTAGAATTGTCTAAAAGGGTATTAGAGTACATTGTATATCTGATCTGTTTAATATGATCAGTGGAATCGCTGGAATTTTGTATTTCAGAGAAAGTGGAATGTACCGATGAATGGACTTGAAATATGAATAAAGATTCGTGGAAGTGGATCGAAGAACATGGAAGGAGAATCTTAAAGTTGATGGATCTGTAAGATAGAAAATTCGAATAATTCGAGGTTGAATTGAATTTTTCAATTGATGCACAAAATTTATTTTAAAATAAACAATTTTTATTTTAATCTAGTTAATAAGGAAACCAAGTTTTTGTTTTTAATACAAAGAATTTCATACTTTAATATATAATTTACAAAGAAAAGTTTAAATATAAAACTTTTTATAATGTAAAATATTCATATTCAAGATTTTAAAAACACTCGTTTTGAAATATATAAAATTCTCTTAATTTACGTTGCTTTGAGCAAACATTTCCTTGGGCTATTTACTTTGGATAGTTTTGTTATGTCCAGGTGGAATAATGAACACATATGTTGTAATGGTGGAAGGTATACCTGAAAGGATAAAGTTCTGTTGACTTTGAATTTCAAAAGTTTTTGGAGATGAAGGGTTTAAGCTGATATTATGGAACTGGCAACTTGTGAAGTTGCATTGTCAAGGATTAGGATGACCTAATGTACTGGACAGAGTTTCAAATTTATGCACATTGACCATCATGAGAGTATATATTAATACGAAATTTGCAACAATGTGTTTTCGTGCATTTGCGTTATCTAGTGCCAAAACTATAATTCAAAGTTAACGAGCTCTTTAATCTCTTGTTTACCAGTAGAAAGTACAATTACAAGGTTTCAACAAATGTCTAAAGTTTTGTAATAGTATAATTAGAATTCAACAATTAGAATTATTGTAAATTGAATAATTCTCTTATAGAAGACATAAACTTCTTGAAAACAGTCATTCAGTAACAATAGTTCGTTTCTTTTTATTTTATTTTATATAAGAAAACAATGTAATTATAGCTATATTGTAAATGTAAATTAGACAATATTGGACAACATAGAATAATATTAAACTTAACTTTTTTATTTCAAATTCTTTATTTTAATTTTTATTTTATTATCTGAACTTTAGAATCTGTTTTAATTTACTAATTTACTTAAAAATTCAAAATTGTTAAATGTATTATGTATGTACAATATTTCAATTTCCGCGCGGTTTCGAATAAATGAGTTGAGCACCTTGAGCCAATCAGAAGCCCGCTAAGGCCCATAGGTGAATTAGCTAATGCGCATTTGGTTATGCGTCATTCTAGTCTGTTGAAAATGGTAGTGTCATCGATAGAAATTTCTAACTGCGCAGAATTTTTACGGGTACGTATTACATTATAATTTATAAACTATTAATAGTATTATGTAATTAATATTATATGTATTTAATTAATTATTAAATATTATATAAAAATTGTATAATTTCGTGAACTTTTTTCGTTCAATCCGCCTTGTAGGTTATCGAAATTTTTTGACTTAGAATAGTTCTTGAATAATTTAGATATTTTAATTTAGAAATCTCGAAGTCTCGTAAATAAATAGAAACATTATATTTATTCGATTAATAATTTCGAGAACATAAATTTGATTAGTAAAAATAATTAAGAGAAACAATATCGATACTCCAGAATTTGAAAGGTTAATTTGCAATTAATAGGTAAATTTTCTTTAGTATTCAACTATATATATATATATATTACTATATTTTTTATCCCTATAATATAATTCTCTATAATATTAATACGCATTTGGTTATGTGTCATTCTAGTCTATTGAAAATGGTGGTATCGTCAATAGAAATTTCTAACTGCGCAGAATTTTTACGGGTACGTATTACATTATAATTTAAAAAGTATTAATAATATTATGTAATTAATATTATGTTTATTTAATTAATTATTAAATATTATATAAAAATTGTATAATTTCGTGAACTTTTTTCGTCCAATCCGACTTGTAGGTTATCGAAATTCTTTGACTTAGAATAGTTCTTGAATAATTTAGATATTTTAGTTTAGGAATCTCGAAGTCTCGTAAATAAATAGAAACATTATATTTATTCGATTAATAATTTCGAGAATATAAATTTGATTAGTAAAAATAATTAAGAGAAATCGCTAATATCGATACTCGGGAATTTGAGAGGTTAATTTGTAATTAATAGATTGATTTTTTTTAGTATTCAACTGTATATATATATTAGCTTATCGAAATTCGTTGATTTAGGATAGTTTTTGAATAATTTAGATATTTTAGTTTAGAAATCTCGAAGTCTCGTAAATAAATAGAAATATTATATTTATTCGATTAATAATTTCGAGAACGTAAATTTGATTAATAAAAATAATTAAGAGAAACAATATCGATACTCTAGAATTTAAAAGATTAATTTGCAATTAATAGATTAATTTTCTTTATTCGTATTCAACTATATATGTGTATATATATATTACTATATTTTTTATCCCTATAATATAATTCTCTATAATATTAATGCGCATTTGGTTATGCGTCATTCTAGTCTGATTCTAGTTGAAAATGGTGGTGTCGTCGATAGAAATTTCTAACTGCGCAGAATTTTTACGGGTACGTATTACATTATAATTTATAAACTATTAATAGTATTATGTAATTAATATTATGTTTATTTAATTAAATATTAAATATTATATAAAAATTGTATAATTTCGTGAACTTTTTTCGTCCAATCCGACTTGTAGGTTATCGAAATTCTTTGACTTAGTTAGAATAGTTCTTGAATAATTTAGATATTTTAGTTTAGGAATCTCGAAGTCTCGTAAATAAATAGAAACATTATATTTATTCAATTAATAATTTCGAGAATATAAATTTGATTAGTAAAAATAATTAAGAGAAATCGACAATATCGATACTCGAGGATTTGAGAGGTTAATTTGCAATTAATAGATTAATTTTGTTTAGTATTCAACTATATATATATATATATATTACTATATCTTTTATCTCTATAATTTTCAAATTGATTCTTCAAAAAATAAAATTTTTCGTTGAATACAATTTGATCATGCATTTAAATTTTTGCATGAATAGCGTATCCATGAATTCACAGAAGATTTTAAGAAAATCGACCGAGAAAGCTGTCTTCTTCAGGATGCAAACAAGTCTATCCGGATGCCAATTTTGGCAACAGTTTACGAAAACAAATCGCATGCTGATATTTATTATATTCACGAACAATGAATTGTTCTCAAATTCATTAATAATCTCCGAAAATAAGGTAAAAATTTTCATTTCAATTTTACTAAAAAAAAAAAATTAAGTGCATGCAACATTGATCAAGCTGGTCAAATTTTGATCAATGCAATGAAAACTCTAGTTGTAAAATAAAAATATAGTTAAATCATATGAAATATGGGATTGGGAATTGGAGGTTAAGTTGTTAATGTAGATTTTGTTGAAATTTCAATAATTTATCATTGTTATTTTCAAAAGATTGATAAAATTTAAGAAAATTTTCTTAATTATTAATTAATATTCAAACATTGTAATATTTTTGAATTTATTATTTTATATAGAAAATAAATTTAAATATTATTTAAATATTGTGTTATTTGTGTTATTGATGTGGATATATTATTTTTTCTATATAATAATTTTTTGTTTGAAACTTATATAAATGAATATCATTATTATGAGTTTCTATTTTTATTCAAATTTAAAATTATATTTAAATAATAAAAAGATTCATAACAAAAATGATTATTGTTAACGTTCGGCTTCTTTCATGAAAAAAAATACTTTATATCAATGTTTGTTCCATTTTAAAACTGTTTCTAAGATATTTATTATACATTGTTAGATTAATATAAAGATATTAATTATAATATATATAAATATATAGATTAGAATATAATCTATATAAATATATAAATTAATATGAACTTATATGAATATAAAATAAATATACAGTTATAAATGTTTTAATTATTATAAATATTGTATAATTATTAATATATTATATAAATTACAAAAAGATATTTAATTGAATAATAAAATTACATCTAACAATTGAAACTGAACAAAAACTTTTTGTTATGAATTTTTCATATTATAATGTTTGAATATTAATATAAATATATTCATGAGTTCAATCAACTTTTTACATGGTAGATTACATAGTAAATGTGTTAAATAACACGAAGTTTGCTTCATTCAAAAAAGGATAATGCTTTTCACTAACGACGACAACAATTTTGTTATGTTCCATACTATGGACGTTATAAAACATAGATTGTATGCTTTCACGCAAAAGTGTCGGGCAGTTTAAAGCACGTGTTACGGGTTACGATAAAATTTAGAAACTTATTGCAGCGATAAATTCTCTTGTCATAAATAAAAAAACAATCTTTGCACCGCGAAACAATTAAAACATTTTTATATGGAATGTAACAGAAATATCAATTTTTTTTCTTTTTTCTCTTTCAATAATTTCTTCTGTTATTTCACATTTTTTCTCAAGATAAAACTGAAGTTTTCACGTATGTCATTATATATGTAACATATCTTTAGAGTTGTAACATATCATTTATAAATGAAATTATGAATCTTTTATATCTTTGGCTTTTTCTTTTACGTTTAATTTCACAAGAATTCATTTTATAAAAAGTTTTACCTTGTATCATACGTGAGAGCTTTGCTTCGTTTTAATCTTGGCAAGGAAAAATTCGAGCAAACTTCGATATCCATTTATCATCTTCTGTGAACCAGTTATAAACTGTTCGACACAGTTCGACGTAGTATTTCAATGTTATATTACTTTTGCTTTTGAAGGGATAAATGCATCGTTATAAGTATTAACCTCTATATGTAACTTCGTGAACTTTTTCGATATACTTTACACTGAATTCTTTTTTTTTTTTAAATTCCAAATGGATTTTAATAAATATAAATAGAATTGGATTTTGAATAATGTAAATTTCACATCAGAATTCTGAAAGAATTATTGTTATTACCATTTCTATTATAGCAGTATGTTAAAAATGCGAGAATTGCATTTCTTATATTTCAAAATGAAAGCACGTATGGAACCATTTCATATAGAGAAACGTACATTATTCTAAATCTTTTAACGAAAGTTGTTGGCAACTATTATCAAGGGAATCATAATCATCCAAATTTTCTCTTTTTCTTCTTTATTTTCCTTCTTTTTCTCCCCTTTTATGTATATCTATTTATAAATATGTGGACAATTCCTCAATTCTTTAAGAATTATATCATTTTATATAAATTTTGTATACAATTGAAACCAGTTAACCAAGTATTTAAAAAATTCTCACTTGGTGTTAGAAAATACAATTTAGTAAAAAAAAAAAAAATCATTTCATAAAAATTTAAATTGTATATCAGACGTTCATTAAAAGGATTCATTAAACTCTCCACTATATTAATGAATAGAAAATGTAATCATTGAAATCGATTTAATTTAACGGAGAAAAAGGGAAGAAGAAGAAGAAAAAAGAAAAAAAAATAGTTAGATGACAGTTAATTTCACGCAATCGTGGAGATTTTATGAGAGTAGAAATAGGAGATTTAATGGTTGATAATAGCGGTTTTAAAAAGAGGAGAATATAGATTAAGGTAGCGGGTAAGGTGGTGGGTAAGGTGGTGGGTAAGGTGGTGGGTAAGGTGGTGGGTAAGGTGGTGGATAAGGTGGTGGATGTGAATGGCTATAAATCACTGTTCGCTGCAAATATGGGATGAATTTATGATATTCGATTACATTTACCCTTTAGTGGAAGGGATGGAAATCTTGAAGGAAACCTGGAATTTCTTCGTTGAGAATATTACCTCTCAAGCATTAATAATCCATGCCATGCTGAATCTATCAGGGTTCCTTGACGATTAATCTAGCGATTAATTAATCCTAGACGATTAAGCAATAAGATTGGATTGATTAAATCGTAGTATTTTGATTTTAGAATTATTAATAATTATTATTTCCTACCTTTTTTGATCCTTTAAGATATTATTATTTCCTCATTTTTAATTTTTATCCATATTTTGTCATTGTTCATTATAAATTATTCATTATATCATTAGATAATAGCGAAATATTTATTTATTATTAATTTTGCAATGAAAAATTCGATTTGTGAAAAGAGGAAGATAGTTATAGTGAACTGAAATAATTATTTCTATGTATATTAGCTTTCATTATAATTTTCCTTCACCATATATAAAAAATTGAATCGTTACCTTCCCTTTTCTATTTTCGAACTTTATAACATTTCTCTTTATTAAATTTTTCATCTTTTTATAGACAACATCAAAGTTAGGTATTACAGACAGGCTGGAAGGCAGATTATTTTTAATATTTGTAAATAAACATTAAGTCGAATAGAAAGAAATTTTCTTGTTTGAAAATTTTTAATATTTATAATTTATTTTTAATATTTGTAAATAAATATTAAGTCGAATAAAAAGAAGTTTTCTTGTTTGAAAATTTTTCTATACTTTTCGAAAAAATTTCTTCTTTCGTTAAGATGTTTCGAAATTTATAAGCAATTAAATTGAACGGACGAAAGATCAGAATGGGCAAAATGTGACAAGGGTGGAAAGATCGCAAGCGGAAAGATGATAAAAGGTTGGACTCTTATCGAGAAAATGTTACAAGCAGTAAAGTTTCCATCTGAATCGAATAAGCTTCGTCCAATAGCCACTCGATAAAAATGTAAGGAAACTCTGGTGCATTATTTCAAGTAACTTTATCTAAAATGGAGATTCCGTTCAGAAACGGAAATTTTAATTAAAAATATTTTCATTCATTGAAATAGTTTTTTTTTTCGAAACTTAATTAATGTTTCAAAGCCATCTTTAAACTTTTTTGCAGAAAAATTTGAAGTCACATTTTTTTGACGATTATTTATTCAATTCAATTTTTTCCTCTCTTCCTTCAAAATTTAACGTTTTTAAAATACAGTCAGATGTTACATGTCGCATACTTTTAAGGAAGAAAATACTTCTACCATATTTCCATTGTATCCTTCAATCGATATTCAGTAAAGCCATGTACTTATACGTCTTGAACATCAGCTTTTGAGACGTGAGACAAGGTTTTAGGATTAAAGAAAGCGGCTAAGAAGCTGCATTTATCTACTTTTAAATCCTTCTAAATGTACTTCCAGCTTGCCTTTCCTTTTCCTCGAGAAGAATATCGATTCTATCCCCTAAAAATCTTTTTTTAATTTCGAGTATCGTCGAGCGTTTTAAACGAAAGATGGATGAAAAAAAATTGAAATAAATTATTCAAACAAAAAATAAAAGTAAATCGCAAAACGTTTCGCGCGTTTTATACAAAAAATAATAATGATAAATTAAAAAAAATATATAGAGAGAGATCGGTGCGAGTAGTCGGACTTCGTAGAAATAGATCGTGTTTTAATTAAAAAGTTGTTTTCCTTTTTGCACACGTTATAAACACGTTTCAAATTACAGCGGAATTTCCAACGAAATGAAATCACCTCAAAAGTTAACGAAGTTAACTTTAATGCTTTTATTCCGGTGTATGGTTTTAATCGAACATGGAAACGTTTGATTGTGCATATTTCCATTTGGTTGCACATTCTGTCAAATGTCTGTTAAATAATTAGCTCGTCCAAACTGAGGAATATTGTAAACGCGTTCGTTTTAATTATTTTGGTAAAGTAATTAATGAATAATAATAACAAATTTAAACGAAAACATAAGAAACGTAATTTGTTGTAAAACATATTTTCAGATTTGAATGAAATTAAATTGAATGAAACGCGAAATTTGATATTTAGGGAATAGAAATAGGAATAGAAATGATTTTTTTTAAACTTTCTTCATTTTAATCTTTGATGAATTATCGAAGCTTTTTGAATTATTCATAGTATAATAACTCAAAAGAAATACTTGAGATTTTAGGTAGTACAATCCTTGATTATTAAATTTTTCCAACATTTTATTTTGCAATGTATAGGATGAAAAAAAATTTTTTTAAGAAATTGGAAATCATTTTCAAGATTTTTATAAAATTAAAAAAAGAAAAATCGCGACGATTCGATGTAATTCATTTTGAGAATAATTATATCTTAAAATTATTGTATTTGTATTATTGTATTATTTTATTCGAAACAAAAATATTATAAAATGTCTAGAAGAAACCAAAATAATTCGGAGAGGGGGGGAAAAAAATGAGCGTGCAATCCAATTACTTAAAGTTTTACTCAATTCGCTCGAGTTTTAGTAATTTAGTTAAGCAGGGGAGCTTGGTGGTTACTTTGAGTAGTTGAATTTAATCTATGCTCCCTCATACGATCGATGCTTATAAAGGGTAGAAACGGAGACCATAGAATTTCCATAGAAACAGTGAAATAATTCGTGGGAGAAAATTAGTTTTTTAGTATTTATCTGAATGAGTGTATCTCATGATGCTCGATGCAGCATAACATTCCTGAACGTGTGAAAATTCTTCTGTTTCACGATTATTTTTCCACTTGTATTGGGGATAAACTGGATCGTTGTTAAAAATATTTAAAATTTTCCAATTCTCGTCCAATTCTCTCTTCTAATTTCAATTTAATTTTCCAATTAAAAAATGATGTTGGACCTGAAATATAAATATTAAATTAATATTAAATATTAAATAATAAAGAAATGGATTTATAATTTTTTGAATGGAAACAATGTTTTTTTTTTTTATTTTATTTTGGAATTAGCTGAAATTGAATTTTAAATTGAGTGCGATAATTTTTTTTTCAGTAAAAAATTATTTTATCTTTTTGAAATTGGATGAGAAGATATTTATCGTGGCAATTTAATTTATCACAGGATTTATGGGCTATAGTTTGCGAAAAATTCGAAGATCCTGTTTTTTAATGCGCTTATGGTGATCCCTTTTATTGCATACCAGATAGTTTCTTGAGTATCACGGTCAGATTAGGATTGAATAATGATAGGCGAAGAACGCGAGCAGTTTCTTCTCGAAATGACAGTCAGAAGTTTGTCAGCCAGTAATGAAAATTCCGTGAATCGTTGGATGCTTCTTCCTTTTGAATCTTGACATCTAGTCGATGAAATTCTAGAGAATGTTCTTTCTATTCTTTGATATGAGAAAAATTGTGTTAACTGATGAATCTGAGAGGAATTAAATTCAATTTTTATTAAAAATTTCGAATTCTGAATGAGTTTTTAATAATTTTAATAATTTCTTATGTGTATTGTGTCTTCTCAAGTATCCTTGATATCAGGTTATTCCATAAACAATGTTTCAAAAGCAATAATAAATTAAATTACATTGTTTAATAAATAAATATTGTTTTTGATATATAATCATAATTAAAGAGAATTTCTTTTTCTTTATTAAAAATTACATATTATTTATTTTATTTTTCACTATAAATTTGATTCTGTTTCCTTTCACTTTTGAAACGACATCGTTTATGAGATGACCTAACATTTATGATAGGTCATATGCTCGCATCATGATGATTTTTGTAAGTTGAATGAAGAAAAAAAAGATCTAATAACTTCTCAAAGGACTTAGATATTTTAATCGCAGAAATTCGTCTGCTTGGAAATATCCTCGTGTCGTTTCCAGTTTCTCTTTTAATTCCACTCGACTATTCGTCGAGAATGAATATTTACACGCGCGCCATCGCATCTTTCATAAATTACCATGTCTCTGGATGAATGCAGGTTTCCTTCAACCGAGAATTCATTGCTCGTATAACTTTGAACGTGTGCGTTTCTTAGCCATGCTGAACGACTGAATTTCACATACCTTAAAAATAAAAGGATAAAATAAGAAAATGTTTCACATCGATTTATTCATCGACAGGTTAGAAATAGAATAGAAAATAAAAATTCGAAAATACAGAATATAAAAAAATACAAACATAACGCGCAATAATTTACCAAATAGGTTGTACAATAGTTTCATAAATGATTTTAATAAATATTAATAAATATATTTCGTTTAATAATCGGATAGTTGGAAGATGTTTGTTAGTTTTAACACGTTCTAATTAAATTCTCAAAAAATTATAAATATTCAAACACGCTAAATCTTATTATCCTAAATTTCATCCAGCATTGTAAAACTTTGCAAGATTTTTTCTCGCCTCAAAACAGTGCTCTTTATCAAAGATGTTTGAATTTCAACAATGAGATCAGCGTCGAACAACAATTATTATTTCCATCTTTTTTACTCGAGAAACATTATAAATTAGAAAATTGTAAATATTTTTAGGCAAGGTTCACACTGGTGTTCTCTGTTTAATTCATTCTTCACGTTTCACGAGGTTGACGTCTCGTGAGACTGCAAGTTTTAATTAAGACGGAGAACTTGGGTTGCAACATTAAAAGCAAGCGTAGATAATGTTGCTCGCATCATTAACGTTCTCTTTCAATTATCGTGCCCTTGCGTTAAAAACTAAACCTTTCAATTTATTTTGAATAATTTCCGTGAATTGCAGTCAGATTCCTTTGCTTGTGCAATTTCTCGAAGGATCGATGATTTTTCGTCTGAATATTAACGAATCCGGATCGATCGACTTTTGTAAATAATTTTTATAATTATAATAATATTTACGACGCTTTATCTTCGATAAAGAGCACTGTTTTGAGGCGAGAAAAAATCTTACAATGCTGGATGAAATTTAGAATAATAAGATTTAGAATGTGTTTGAATATTTATAATATATTTTTTGAGAATTTAACGAGTTAAAACTAACAAACGCCTTCCAATCGTTCGATTATTAAATATATATTTATTTATATTTATTTATTAATATTTATTAAAATCATTTATGAAACTATTATACAATCTATTGGTAAATTATTGCGCGTTATATGTTTGTATTCTATATATTCTGTACTTTCGAATTTTTTAATTAATATCGATTTTCTGTAATTTATCGTATCCTTATACCGAACCTCACAACTTATTCTAAATAATTTCCATTTTTTATATTAAATATTATTTATTATTAAATATATATTAAATATATATTATTATTAATAATATTA